TTACGGGATCTTTACGGGATGTGTGTGAACGCACTCACAGATTCCGGAAAATCCCTGGCAGTGTGAATGAACCAAAATCAAACGATCCCGGGACAGATCCCAGGACACATTATCCGTGTATTTTCAGGAATCTCTGTGTGAAAGAGGCTCATGTCAAGTTAAAAGTTGTTCACCCATAGTTTGTTCCGTACTTATTACTTTATTTTGCTGATTTTGTTCCACGGTTTCCACTGGCCTTCACATTCATGTTTCCTCTGACTACTTGTCATAATAATATAACTCGTATTCCAAGTTGCTCTACGATTTAACTCTGCATTTTGTCTTCAGATTCATTTTAAGCATTTTTCTCACTCTCCTTTCTCTCATTTTGTAGTTTACTTTAGAGCAGGGGTGTCCAAACTCAGTCGTGGAGGGCCACTGTCCTGCAGAGTTTAGCTCCAACTTGCTTCCACACACCTGCCTGGAAATTTCTAGAATGCTTAGTAGGGCTGGCCACACACTTGAAGATTTTGTGCCTGATTTGCACCCCCTAGCGATCGGGGGGCAGGGCCCGATTCAAGGCTTGTCGCAAACGACTTCTTATCCAAAAAATCCTCAATTGTGTGCTGTCATTACGATTGTTTTACTGCTCCCGATCAAGTCAGAGCCTGCACGATCCCAAGTTTGAACCAAGTAAATATCAAACATGTTTGGTAATTTACAACACCTGATGATCGGGCTGCCTCTGACGTGTTTCCCACGATAGCCAATGAAAGCGAGCAATATGAAGGTAATATGATGCCATAAAGAATCGTATGACAGGGTAAGATTTGTGAAAGTGTGCATAAGTTTACAAGTGGAAATTAAATATGCATGCGCAAGAGATGATTTGTAAAGGTGTAAATCGCCTTTCAAGTGTAAGAAAAAAATATTTGCAGCATTTTACTCTTATTCGTAAGTGTAATTCATGTATTGTGAAGCTGCAGCTTCATGCTAATGCAAAATAAATAGGATTTGTATTCCTCTGACTTCCATTTTTCTGCGCTCACACTTTTGGCACGTTTTTTTGCGCACAAATGCGGGAAAAGGCATTGCAGGCCTGTAAACAGCAATTTGCTAGCGAAAACAGAGTCAGGAACTGCAAAACAGATTGATCGCGTAAAACCAAATATTTGTGTAAAAAAATAAACTGTTGCAAATGTCTGAATGACGACTTGTGTGCATGGGGCAAAAATGTTCCCGAAATAACCCGATTTGTACAGTTGCGTCTTTCTTTTAGCTGCACTTACAGTTTTGCCACGATTCTCTCACTCATTGAGTTTTGCAAGCGCGAAGAGGAGGGCGGGTCCACCTTAATCATGTAGCCAATCAAATGAGCTTGGTTCTGATTGGTTCAATAAACACGCCAGCCGCCAGAACACATCTTTATCTTCATTTGGCTCAGAAACGTTCTCATTGGCGAAATGGTACTTTTAATTCACACATATGTTAAATAGGCCTAAATAAATAAATCATGATTGCTTAATAAGCTGTGCACCATTAGGCTGACTATATTAGTTCATACTGAATGTCGAGCTGGTGTGTTAAGAAAATTTCTGTGTATGCAATGCATGTATCATCATCATCATCATCCTCCTCCTCAGCAGGTCATATCAGTTTGTAATGTTGATGCTGCTGAATGTAGGCCTAGTATCTGCACTACTGCATGCATTATTTCACCTGTCAATTAATCATGGGTGATTCCAAAATGATTATTTTACTAAAATGAGTTATATAGTATTGTTTTCCTTTAACATGTATTTTAAGGGACCTTATGTCTGTGGTCTCCCACGGTTTAAAAATTGGTTAAGATTTGAGAATCGTCTAGTGTGTCCCAGGCCTTAAAAATTAAAACATGTTCAATCACCACGATCCTTGGCAGACATTTTGTTCCGATCCCATGGGATGTATTAGTATCTTTGCCTTCAAATCTTCTTAACTCAGTGACCGCTCAATCTTGAGGGAGAAAGGGTTTTTATTATGCAGCTCTGAGTAAAGCCTTAGGCAAAGACAAACCTTTGGCAGACAAGCCAAGTCTTTAATTTGACTTAGTGTATTTGTAGAAGTCTTGAAGATGCTTAAATGCATTTAAATTGAAGTACTACATTTGTAATGGTTTCATTTCCACATGACAAGGTACAACTATAATTGATATAATAAAATTATTTAGATCTAAATATATTAAGTAAATATTGTTTATTTTTGGTATTGAATTGGGTTAGTAGTAAGAATTGCCTTTCTGGTGAAGAGCTTTTGTTATATTACTATCACATGTAATACACCACACACTAATAATGTTTCACACCATATTTATGTCATTTTGGTTCGAACCAACACCTTATTAGTCTAAGATGCCGTTAGAACTCAATTTCTTTTCTACCTTGAAATATGTCTTAGACTTAAATCTAAGGCATCGATGCTCACTTCCTATAACAGAAGTTCTAATGCGCAAAACATAAATCACGTGAGCCAACTCGCATAATGACGCAATGGATGTTTTGAAAAAGTGTTGTCGTGTAGACAGTGCAACCGGGGTTTTTGCCTTGCGACGTCAGAGTGTGCGCCGTTATCAGCTGTGTTTGACATCAGATTTGCGCTTCTGATTGGCCAACGTGGCTTTAGGGTTAAGGTTTATATCACCGCCTGCTGGCGTGGCATGCTCTTGACCGCGCTTGATTGCGTGTTTTTACGTTTTCATGTAGACGGAGACCGAGCATGTGTGGACGGGATTTTTTGTAAAAACGCTGTAGGAAAAACTCCGGTTATAAAAATACCCGTGTCCGTGTGGACATGGCCTCAATGTACTCAAAAAAGCACTTAAAAAATAAAGACTAGCCTATAACTTGCACAGTTCCTTCTGTGCCAACTTGGAGGATAGTAAATACATTTTCTTTTACATGGTACTAAATATGAAAAGGATCAATCTTGATATATTTGCTCTTAGCAGTTTTTGATTTAAATATATTTTTTAAAAACATACATAAAATGAATTGTCCTTTTACTAAAAAGGATTTGAGACTTGGACTCATGACAAAAGGCTTGACTTAAACATCTTCGATTTGCATTACATTCAATGTGTTTTAATCATTACATGCATTCCCTGAAAATCAAACCCATGACCTCGACGTTACTTGCATGCTCTGCAGTTTGAATTACAGGATCGCTACAGAACTGTGTTTTTGGTGCAGGTTTTTAAAAAAATTATTATTCTGGTGAACATTCTCTCCCCTCAAACTAATGTTTCAACTGTGTGGTCAAGAAGCAATACTGCCCTACCATTCTACCAATTCTGCCCTGTCCAGAGGCAGTAACTGCATTTTTGGTCAAAAATGAGTTATTATCATTTTCATGACATTCAAGGCTTCCTTTGTTATGTGACAAAACATCTTATCTCAAATGTGTGTCGTTTTGGAGAAAAATGGTAGTCGTTTGTACAGTAACTGCAAAAAGCCCTAGTGAAACAAAGCAAGAGTACAGTAACATCCATTACTGTATTCTTGCTATGTTTTACCTAACAAAAAATAACTGTGTTGCTGCGCAGTGTAGTTACTGTTGCCATGGTGAACACACAGCTGATTTCGCGGCATTCTCACGGGACGGTTTTTAAAATTTGCGATTTCACGCTTCTAACTTCACACAAATTTTGTTTGAGATGCAGTGTTTCCCCTAATTGTTCCCCTACCAAACAAACTAACACACACACACACACACGCACGCGCGCGCTGAAGCACGTGTGTGACGCTCGAGCTGTTTTTTTGCCTATAATGAGGACACGGTCTTCACGGCAACCCGTCAAAATAAAAGTTCGGTTTAACTTGACAAGAAATATATTACTGCTGTACAGTAGAATTTAGAAACGTCTCAATTTAATAATAATACTAACACTACAAATAAATTAAGATTAAAACTTAATTTTTAAAGGAATAATCACAATTTTTCTTCAATGTTTTAATTTTAACAGTAAAGCTCATTGTGCAGCATGTTGTTTGACCAAAAATGTTTGTTTTTAAAATATTGTATAAGTTTAATAATAGTTTATAATAAAAGTTTCATGATTTCAATTAATTAGACATGATTTTTGATTACTAAAAATTTACACCACATATCCGTAACACGCCCGCTCCGCAACACTAGTTTCGCAACACAAAATTTTTGAAAATGTTGTCCAAATGGTTCCAATTATTTCAAACACAGTGTATCAGACTCAGAGCCCAAGTTGTGGCAAAATAGTTTTTGGAGAATCTGTTACTGCCTTTTCCCTTGGTATGGTGCCACGTTTTTGGTAAGTAATACAAAGCAAGAATACAGTAACTGCAAAATAGGGGTAAAATATCAAATTAAATATGAGGATTGATATGTACAAAGAATAAGCTAATATAAAGTAACAAAACAGCCACATGTCCAATAATCTACCTACAACTACTTAGGCTGGATGACAGGATAACTTTAAAGTCATTTTTCTCTGTTCTGCACTCTGCGTAGTTACTGCCTTTTTGCTTTGTAGGGCAGAATACAAGTGTCATTGAATTGTGGTTTCCCTATTACACCAACCATGTTCCTGGATCAACTCATTATTGGAGATAACAAGACCCTGAAATGGATGTATCAAAAAAGGTTCTCCAGAGGCAGGGTTGGGAACCACTGCATTAATCAACTGACACAAGAAATGCCTTTTATTTATTGGAGTCTGGTCTGATTTATAAATACATTTTACTGGATATGCTACAATTACCTCTATGAATGAAAGTTTCTGATTTCTTTCTAATTTCTAAGTGCATCATGTTGCATCAGAGTACAAGTTAAATATGCTATTAGGCTGGTCCAAACAGGGTTACAAGTACAGTAGCCTATATTTCGTACAGAGCAGGAGTTTTCAAGCTATGAGGTCTATGGAAAATTTAAAGGAAAAGGAAAAAGACATGAAATGTAAGTTTTTATGACCGAATTGAGAATTAATTGAAAAAATGTGTTTTATTTTGCAGAGAGTTAGTGAGAGGGTCGGAGGGGCAGAAGGAACTAAATTAGATTATGACTTTACAGAAATGGAAAAGGTAAGTTTCCTTCAGCAAGAGTTATGATTCTCTTTCAAGAAGCAGTGAGCATGTGGTTGTTTATTAGAAATCTAATTTTGGAAGGTTTTAATTAGACTATAATTTTGAGACAACAGATGACCTAAGTGTGAATATTTTGAGTGAGTTTATAAATGTGTATTTTAGAGCATCTCTTACAAAGATGGTTAAAATGGGATGGAATGAATGATTGGATGGATGGATGGCTGGCTACTGGGGGCTTTAGGGCATCTAGCTGATATGTGATGCCAAACACTGCTTTTGAAATATGTGGAATGTTTAATTCTTTAATGTCTAAACATTTTTTTCTTTCTGTTCTATTCTTGTTTGTTCTCATCTTAACTGTACTATAGAAAGTTGACACCACCACAAGGGCAGTGATGGACATTATGACCAAGACAACGGAGTACCTGCAACCCAATCCAGGTAAATGTTGATCTTTTTTTGTTTTTCATTGTAAATCCCTAGTTTAGAAAATAAAAAAGTCATTAATGTACATCTGTTTTGTGTTTGTTTCTGTAGCAACTCGTGCCAAGATGAGTATGATGAGCTCCATGTCTAAAATCCGTGGAGGAGATAAAGGTCCCGGCTACATACAGACTGAAGTCATCCTGGGAGAGTCCATGCAAAAGTTTGGCAGGGAACTCGGGGAGGATTCCTACTTTGGTAATGCTTGCTTTGTTATAAACATATGCAATGTAAGAGCCGTTAGCTTTGTGGGTAGACACACATAGCGCGGTATAAACATACACAATGCAAACGGCATTATTCCAAAATAATGAGTTCTATTTGCGTTCATCAACAAGCTCTTTTGACTACATGGTTACTTAGTTTGCAAACTAGATTAAACTATAAAATATGCGTCATTCTTCTGTTGGTGTGTAAAAAGCAAAATCCATGACTGAATGGATTTATCGATCATAAAGAAAAAATACGTGGTAGTATTTAGATGTTTAAACCATTGCACCACAGATTGATAACAGAAAATCTGAATTTCAAACTGCAAACACAGTTCAACACGATGCATAAGGGCATTTTCAGACCCGTTTGCTTTGTTCTGAAAAAGTGTTTTAAATTGTTAAAATGTTACATTTTATTCTTATTTCAGTTTGCTTTCACATGGCAACCTTTCAAAGCATACCATAATGTGCTTATGCAAGTCACATGCGAATAAAACTGTCCTCTCATTGGTCAGAGTACATCTGTTTGTTGCTCACACTGTAGCATCACCCATAAAGATGGATTGACAAGTTAGCTCTGTGGACTTATTGTGGCTTTATCTGTAGCTGACCACACACACACACACTTATATGAAAGTAGCCATCATTACACCCTAGAAGTATGCCCCAAATCATATGGCAGAAGTAGTAGTGACTAGTATGCTATTCCGAATTCATATTGTTTAAATGCAACCCACAAAAACTGACAAGACTCACTAGCATCAGCACAAACATTTTTATTGTTCATGCTCTCTAGTTTTCAAATGTGTTTAATATGGTTGTCTGAAATCACTGTATACTTGCCAGCAAACCAAATCGAGCCCATGACGAGGTTACCAATGACCCGCAACCATAATCCAAAATGTTTTGACAATGTAGTTCTGCTTTTGTAGCTGGCTGCACTGCAAATGAACAATGCAGCACGACAAATCAGGACACTCCCATTATAATAAATGAAGCTGTCTGTGATGTAAAAGAGACAGCTTCTGTAGCATGCATTGAGAGAGAGCAGCTTGAAGCAAAGCAACAACTAGATACGCACTCCCATTATAATAAAATAATCTGCCTACATTCCAAGCACTTATAATGGGAGCGATTTAGTTTAGTGCACACTGCTTGCTTGCACACAGTTAAATTACATTTAATTGTAATCGGAATAAATCACAAAATGTTTTGCAGTTCATGAAGTCATATTTTGTTTTTAATAATCATGATGCAAAGTGTAATCACTTATTGTTGCATAGTGACTGTTTGCGGCATATTCAAATATAAATTGAGTTCCAATTAGCAGGAAAGATTGGTGATAAGAGCAATGACATGTTACCATAACATTTATAAGTGCAGGTGTTTAAATACCATTTGACCATATGCTCTGGAAAATGAAAAGAGTGTTTTTATAAACTGACCAGCACTTTTATCAAGTGCTTTGATTAATGAGGTGATTCAAAATATGAGGCTAGTTTAAGAAATAGCCATAATTATTTGTTACTGCAAATTTGAAAACCAAATGAAAATAAAGTAATTACTATAACCAGATAATATTTTTCCCCTGGGCTGCATAATTTGAGTATCCCGGCTAAATAGAGTAGCAGGGTTTTGTATTGGTGTAAGGGGGAAAAAAACTACTTAATTCAGTACATTGATGTCTATGTTGAGTCCTTAAGTTTTTTCCCCTTAAAATATACATAAAGCATACTCTTGTGTTTTACAGGTGTGGCTCTGATCGATGTTGGAGATGCCATGCGAGAGCTGGGTGAAGTTAAAGATGCTCTAGACATGGAAGTCAAGCAAAACTTCATTGATCCCTTGCAGAATATCCATGATAAAGACTTAAAAGAGATCCAGGTGAGATTAAAGAAATGATTGCATTGAAACCCTCCAAAACCAGTACCTTTGAGATGACAGGAAGTCATGCAGTCATCCTGTGAGACTCATTTACTTACATTTTGGCAAATTCACAGTTGTTCCTTTTGCATGTGATATTTCAGTGTAAAAACCTGCATCTTATTCAGTAACCTCCTACAATCCAGTGTAACCTGACACATAAATGCTCTGAAATAGTGCTGAACTGTATTTAAATCATTGCAATGCGTTAATTGTGGTAGTTTAGCGAACAAGTCGCAATTACCACTTTTGCAACTTAGTTACAGCATCATGGATCATTTCAGTTCAACTTTAACAGTTTCAGCAGAACACTTAAATGTAGGTTGTTTTGTGAACTTGACACATTTGTATTAATTTTGGTGAAATTTTTACACACTCCCCTGTAAATTATTGACCCAGCACAAGAGTAACAAAAGAAATCAAATTAGAAATGCATTATTGATTGCAGGAAGTTTTACATCCAATCACAGTAAGGATGTTAACAATTAAATCAGACAATGAATTGGCTATCTAGTGATATCTCCGCATTTGTGGTCCTCGAAGTAGTTGAAAGTTGAGAAGATCAAAACGTTTTAGACCCGTTTACATCGACCGAAACGCATCTTAATACCAGGTGTAAGCAGGGCCAAAGAGGTTGTTGAAAGAGGGATGGGGCTGTTTAAGACTATTCTGGAAAGTGCTGAATCTCATTTCGCACACATCAGCAAGCAATGAGCCATTTACTTCTAAGGTCAGAGAAGAGGAACAAAAATGGACATAAAAATTAATAATGACTGTATTTGGATTTTACTAACTGTACTAACAATATTGTAAGTGTAACTCAGAATTGTATTGTTAATATTCTCCCATGAGTATGACCTCTTTAAATATCACTTATTAACTCTTATCAGTCACTGATTTTAACGATTTTGAATACGCATCTGTTGAGAATTCAACTTTCAGAATCAGCTGGTGTGATTTAAATGTACTTGTGAATAATACATCACAGTGAGAATATTTTGTAGTAATATTTTTAATAGCTTTGAAGTCCCAACCTTTGATGGAGGCAATGCTTTGGAATCCCACTAGAGGTCAGTAACTGATCAGTGCAATTTTCAACACTTTTTCTCTGTGTTATGACAGCATCACCTGAAGAAGCTGGAAGGGCGACGGTTGGACTTTGACTATAAGAAGAAAAGGCAAGGAAAAGTCACAGAAGATGAGATCAAACAAGCCCTGGAGAAGTTTGATGACTCAAAGGATATTGCCGAACAAAGCATGTTTAACCTTCTGGAGAGTGATGTAAGATCTGTGGCCTGCCCTTGTTCACCATCCATTTCATGCCTCCATTATCTGTCCTTATTGTGCCATATACTATATCCAATGAGTCTTTCCCACTACATCTTTCCTTTTATTTTGAAGCAATACGTCACTGGATTCACTTGTTTTCATTTATCAGTGCATCTTACACAATGGCTATGTTTACATGGTTTATAGTCTGATTATTACCAATAATCAAAGTAAGAATTAAGATGTTAACATCACATGCGCAAAAAAGTTTCAATCCTGTTTACATGATACATGTTTAGATTATTTGCTAAGAGTTGTGATGTTTTTGCTTTAAAATAGGCAGCCTTCAAGCCCTCCCAACGTTCACGGACCTGTTCACCAGTTCTAGGGTACATGGTCTCCCTCATTTTGCAGAAGCCACACTTCTGGGGAGTTTATGCTTATAGCTTTACACAACATGGACATCATGTGTTTTATTGATTTTGATGGTCAGAATTGTCACATTTCCAAGCATCAATGTGCATGATGCCAAGAAGTGTGGCTTCTTCTGTTCCAGCATGTTTTCGAACCCATGCATGAGCGTATAGTCAGATTAAAGCCGCAGCACTCCACATATTTTACTGCGATTTATGGTTACTCTAAATATGAAAGTAATCATAATCACGGTATTGTTTACATGAGCTCGCAGTACTTCACAGTACTGCATTAATAAGGGTGCATGTAAATATAGCCATTGTTTGCTAGTCTTGACCTGCCATATACAATCTTTGAGGAATTTCACATGTAATAGTTGTTGATGTTTCTGCAGATTGAACAAGTGAGTCAGCTTTCTGCTTTGGTCCAAGCTCAGGTGAACTACCACAGACAGGCCGCAGAGATCCTTCAGCAGCTTTCCACCAAGATAGAGGACAGGTTTGTGTTGTAGAACAAACCACACAGTACAAGACTCCTCGTAAATCTAGTCTAAACATTTAAATGGAACCCTTCTTCCCACAAAAAAAAAAACGATGCAATTACAGGCATCTATTCTTAAAGGGATAGTTCACCCAAAAATGAAAATTCTGTCATAATTTACTCACACTCATGTCGTTCCAAACCCATAAGACTTTCATTCATCTTCGAAACCCAAATGAAGATATTTTAATGATATCTGAGAGATTTCTCTCCCTCCATTGACAGTCCACTCAACTACCACTTTGACGCTTCAAAAAGTTAATAAAGAGATCGTAAAACAAATCCATATGATTCGAGTGGTTTAGTCCAAGTTTTCCGATCGCTTTATATGATGAACAGGTTTAATTTAGGCTTTTATTCACATGGTGAATCGTCAGTGGAACCATTAACACAGGAATTACTTTTAAAGTGCAAGCGATTTAAAAAAATAAATAAATGTAAAGACACAACATAACCATGACCATGTCATGTTAAATTGTATTTTCTATAATGACTGATCGCACATAGGCATTTCAGTATTTGCTCAGAAAAGCCTGCAAATAAAGATAATTAAAAATGTCACATTATTATGGCAGCTGAAAAAAGTAACTTTATAAATGAATATTTAGTTTATTTCAATATCAATATCAATAACAACTGGGGATGGTAAGTCTGCAAAATACGCAAAAACATGCTTTGCATTTAGGCTTGCTCGGAGGAAAATGTATTGTGTAAAAAATTAAGTATGCGTTTTGGTTAATAAATGTTCCTTTTGTGGTAATCCGTTTATTTTTCATTTTATCACATTGTCTTTTATATAAAATTATACTAAATTATCAGGCCTAGTTTCTTATACAGACTTATTTACAGATTTATTCATTTATTTTGGCAGAATAAGAGAGGCTTCTTGTAAGCCAAGAAGAGAGTATGTCCCCAAACCTCGCACCTCCCTGGATTTAAGTGAGAACCACAATGGGAATATTGGGAATATTGGGCACAGTGGCCCTTCTAGGTCACCAGGTAAGGCACTAAAATAATTCAATCTATGAAATGCAGGATTTCATTGTCTGTGCTGTAAAGATTTTTTTTTTTTCTTTTTTTTTTTTACCTGTTTCAGCTCCAATGGACCATCCTTGCTGTCGGGCACTGTATGATTTTGATGCTGAAAATGAGGGTGAGCTAGGCTTCAAGGAAGGTGACATCATCACCTTGACCAGCAAGATTGACGACAACTGGTATGAAGGAAAGATCAATGATCACTCTGGCTTCTTCCCTGTCAACTACGTAGATATCCTGGTAGCTTTGCCCCACTAAGTCTTATGCATGTACCCTAATCATGATCTGACCAATCAAACCACTTCTGCAAGAGGAGAAAATAACCAAAACAAACAGCACAAAAAGCTTGGTTATGATATTTGCGCATAGGAAATAAGCAATGAAAACTTCGAGTGCCCTTTCGTAAATATTATTCCCTGACTTGGAATGCCACCACTTTATTGTAATATTGATTTATTTTATCTTTCTTGAGGTTGATCAGACCTCTGCGTTGCCTGCTGCTATATGCCTCCTGTATGTTTGGACGTTTTTTTTTCTTTTCTTTTCTTTTTCTTTTTTGCCTGTTTCCATTTGCAACAAAACATTTATCCACACCCTTTTAAAAAATAAAATATTTCCAATAAAATAAGACAACACAAATTATTTGGGTATTAAGTTCTTGGCATAAAGTATTAATAAAACATTATTTGAAGGATAATGGTTGAATTGAAGTATTAAACATTTACGTTCTTTTTTCTTTTTTTTAAAATGGCAATAATTGTAAAACAAATATACTGTAACATCTTTCCTATTCATAGTGTGAAATGTTCCACTGTTTGTTTAATGTCCTAAAGCTAATTTTAGCCTTTAACTGGTGGTAGATTTGACTATTTAAATAGATTCATATTTAGCAACAAAGAAAAAAACAGACAAAGAATAATTTATTTGTTGTGTTAGAGTGTCATTCATCAGTCATTTAACAATCTGTATGGTCCATGAATCATGTGGGCCTTTTCAAACTTTCCATATCACATTCCATAGATGTTAAACTGGTCACTAAAAGGCAACCGAAAAATAGTTTTATGAAGTAATGTGTGCTTGTGTACATATATATGACTATAAATATGCCTGAGTGTATGTTATCAGAACCCATGAAACTGTATTTAAACTTTTCTTTCATATATATTTTTCTTTTAATGTTTTTGATGGCGAAGTGCGTTTTCTTTTTCTGTGCTAGTAATGGCAATGAATTGTAAAGAAATTGTGAAGAAATGACAGGTACTCCCCCATATGCCACTGATCTGAATTTAAAAGTACCACAGAGCAACAGTGGTTGCACTCTTTGGGGGAATTGATCAACAAATGGTTGTTGCACCTCGTCATATTAAACTGGAATAAGAGAAAGTATTTTAACATCGCAAAAAAGGCTGATTTTGACTGATATAAAGCAATTTCTGATTGTAAATGATGTATAATTTGGTCAAAAGTTTCCACAAACAGAAGAAGTATGTTCTAAAAATATTAGGTGTTTAGTTAATGTATTATTTATTATTATTATTAAATCTAAGATCCCCTTTATATATATATATATATAAAAAAAACAAGTGTAGTTTGTATTGTCGGGAAATACCAATATTTTTCAATTGTGTTGTTATCCTCAATGAGGTATGTACAGTCATTATTGTGTTTTATTTCCTTTTTGTGTCTAGTCATGTAACTATAGTACCATGTGTTACTTTTGGATCAGTGTTGAAGCATTTACCATTAGATAAAAAAATAGACACTGGATATATATTGAAGTGCTGGTGGAGTGTTTAGTCGTAAAGCACTACATATCAACTCCTTTTTTAGCATGAATTTTCATGACTCATCTGAATGAATAGGCTTGTATTGAGCACAAAAAAAACCCAACTGTGCAACTACAATAAATACAACAGATTAAGGGTGCACTTGGAGTGTGTGTATTTTGTTTGAAAACCAGTAGATGATGCTGCCACAACAGACTTTACACAACAGTATTTTTTGCCAAACATCTGTCCAAATTAACGACACCATATTCTGCTAGTTTCGCTAATGTGATTTTTCACAATACACTTTTCTTTCTGTGCCAACTATAGAGGTCAGAGGTTAAAATGACATATTTCAGTTTATTATTTGACACCATCTACATCTAATTGTATCTTTTTGGTAAAATGTACCATGTGGAAATTGTGTTAAAATGAACTAGTAATTTCTTACTGAGAATGATTTAGAAAAGGAGTACTAATAACACTTTAGTATTTTGCTAAAAAGAAAAGTCACAAATTGTGGTGATTTTCATATTGTTATTTTTGATGAGTTTCCATTTTTGGCACCCATTTACTGGGATCTTAAGATATTAATAGCTCTGACAAAAAAACTTTCAACTGCTTCTCTCCCGCCAATATTTTCCACCTCCATGTGTCCCGCCCAGACACTGGCATGCCAGGGATGTGTCACTTCATCTTACAACTGTACTTACAGTCAGTGAGGCATATCACATCCACCCTATGCTCCACCCCACCCCTCCATGAACACAAACCATCCAGCAAGCTTCACTCTTGCACAGCCACAATGTAAACATTTATCCTGTTCCCAGACTCACTGCGTGTCGGCAAACACACCAAAGGCTAACAGAGTTTGTTGTGCATACTGTGGCTGAAAGTACATATTTATAAATTTATGTCTGAAATTGTTTATAAGGTTGTTTTTTTTCACAAAATCAGGATGATCAGGACCCCAACATGAAACAAAGGATCACCCTGAATAGGAAATATAGATTTTCTAAGACAAAAGGTCTTTTGTTCAATGGTCATTAGTCTGAATGCTAAATACATAAATATGCCATGTATTTGTCTATTTTATTTATTTATATTTATATATACAATATATCACATTATTTAAGTTATAAGATATCCATTTTAGTATGAAGCAGTGTTTCCCATTAGTTAGCAGACTAATCTGTCCTGCCACAGTTTCATAATGAACCAAAAGTTATTTAGGTAACGCTTTACAATAAGGTTCATTAGTTAACATTAGTTAACTACATTAGTGAGCATTAACTAATGATGAACTGCACTTATACAGGTTTTATTAATCTTTTTAATGTTAATTGCAACCTTTTAATAATACTTTATTAAAATAGTGTTAACACTGTGAACTAACATTAACAATCAATGAACAGCTTTATTTTTCATTAACTAACATTAACAAAGATAAACAAATACGGTAATAAATGTATTGCTCATGGTTAGTTCATGTTAGGCTAATACATTAGTTGACTAATGAACCTTAATGTAAAGTGTTTCTAATATCTCATTAGATAATGTGTTCCATTTGTTACAGTATTGATTCATCTTTGTTAATCTTTCACATATTTTTTGACAACACTTGATCCATTAATACTAACACTTTCTTTTCTATTCTATATCTATTAAAACAAAAATTGCGTGTAAACTGGGAAGGGTCACTCACAACACTTGCATATTGTTGCCCTATTGTTAGTTTAATTGCATCTATTGCTCTCCTCATTTGTAAGCCGCTTTGGATAAAAACGTCTGCTAAATGATTAAATGTAAACAAAGATTAATACAACTGTTTATTGTTCATTCATTGTAACTCAGGTCCGTTAAATATAGTAACAGAAACAAATTTTGATTTTATTAATGTATTAAAATATGAAGTATTAAGAATTATTTGTTATAGTTATTTCATGTTAAGTTAGTTTAATGTTAACAAATGGAACCTTATTGTTAAGTGTTTCCAATATTTTACACTTGTCTCTAATGTAACGTTTTGCACCATTGCTTTGACAAAGCATCTGTCAATTGAACTAAAATTGAAATTGCGATATGACTTGTGCTTATCAAATCGCAAAAGGCTGTAATCACTAAAATTGTAATCACAAAAGATTTCACCTGATCTCAAAGTGTATATATTATCTAGTAATAATGACAATGTCTAGTAATCATGATCTAAAATTTCTCCTGAACATGGCCAAAGACATCCAATCAGTGTTGTGACTTCAAAATATGTCATCACATTGCATCGCTAATCATTGCCTAAATGTCAGAAATATTTGATGCAAACAATGTGAGTCACTCTTTGGACGATGCAGGGGACTGGCAGAGGAGAGTGTGTTCTTACATGTTCAACTTGCTGGTGTTCTCACATACTTTCCTTTTTGAACAGCAGGCTGAGCTGTCATCACCAAGCAAGGGCTGTTAATTCCTTGTCTTTCAGCTCTCCTCAAAAGAGCTTGTGATTGGAGATGACAAATGAGGCGGTAAGACAGGTCAGACTGCAACAAGCTCAGGTGTGCTAACATGACTGTTAGAGTGGCAGTGCACCAATGCGCCTATTCAATAGTAGTTTAGACGAAAGTTTGTTGGAAACAATCTTACTAAATAAATATTTTAATAACCATGACTTAATCACTGTTTTTATTATTTTATACATTTTATTTTATTGCCTGATGTTTTTTTGTTTGTTTGTTTTTTAAACAGAAGTATTTCTGTTGTAGTAAAACTGGCCTAAACTATGCCTGAAAACAAAAAGACAGAATGAAAATGTCCTCTAGTTACTCAAAGAATAAATAATCTAAAGATGTTCATCTTAAAACCCACAGAGTGCCAGGTAAGAGTTAAATTGGAAGACACAAAGCATGAGATAAGGGTGAAGGCCAGAAGTGGCAGTAGGAATGTGTGTGGGTGTAAGACGGAGAAACCTCGCTGAATATTGTGTCTGGTAAAGCGTACCTGTCTGCTCCAATGCTCTCAAAGTGGGCCTGGAGCCTATTTTATGAACTAATGTCCAATCCTGTGTTGTGTCTCAATTTTTGCAGGAATTTAGATAAGGGTCTGATCGCAAACAGTGGACAGAATTCGTCCCCAATATTCCACTACAATAATGTAGAAATATAATTGTATTTATTTTTTGAAGGCATAAATGAACAAATATTCATAAATATTTTAATATGTATTTTTTACTTAAAACATAGGCCTAATAAAAAATAATGCAACGCATTATATAGAAAAATGCCACAGAATAATTTTTAATTATTTGAACTCTTAAAACAAAGTTGTGTTAAACAAACAATATATATATATATATTTATTTTATTTTTTAAATTATTATTATTAAATTTTTATGGACTGTTTTCCATTTCTTTTTTAAATGTTCTAATGTAATTAATTCCTGTTTCAGTATCATTGCAGTCTTCGGTTTGGTATGATCCTTCAGAAATCATTTTATTATGCTGATTTGGTGCTCAAGTAACAAACAACATAAGAATCATGATACTTTTTTCAGGATTCTTTGATAAATAGAAAGATCAAAAACAGCAGTTATTTGAAATAGTAAAAACTTTTACATTGTTACAAAA